AATATATATACTACACACACTACACACACACACACACACACACACATATATATATATATATATATATAAGACAGGTAAGTCATATGTACATTCACCCTGGATCGTTGTTTAGGCCATTTTACCAACATCTTGTAAATCATCTATACTGCACCTACCACGTGGTCGTCCCTCAATTTACACTAGTTTCGGGCCGCGTATGCAGCTGGGAGTTATACAAATTGCACTTTCCGCTACACCTCAGCCTGACGCCATGCGTGACCTATTATTATTTTCCTTAACTGTGTCCGCACCAGCTTACATTGAATTATTTTCTGAGATTATACTAGCCACTGAAGTTCTCAATCGTTAAGTTTCTTATTGTTGGTGTTATGGGCTCTAGATTGTGAAGGACAACGCCATCGTTAATAGACTAAACAAGACCAAGACAGAAGCGTACCCTGACCTATTAAAGATGAGGACGGAAAGAGACGCAAGGGAGACGGCCAAGAAAAAGAAGGCAGCTAAAATTAAGGTGTGTGCATACTTAATCACACTCGGGTGTTATCACACAAGATCAAAACTGTCAATGTTGCAACAAGCACTGCTCAAAGCGTCATGTGGGGGTCTACACCACCTATTCATTGGCTGTGTCTACTGGGACTCATCATTTATACATACAAGACTGTGTATTGTATATTATGTTCATGTGGGGGTCTACATCACCTATTCATTGGCTGTGTCTACTGGGACTCACCATTTATACATACAAGACTGTGCATATCATACTGTACAAAATTAATTTTGTTATGATTCCGTAGATAGCGCATTTGGATAGCGCATTTGTAGCATTTCGATGCGTAATTTATGTCAATTCTGGTATGCAGGAAGGGATAGATTGGCTGGAGGTGTATATGGTACCTGATGTTCGAATACAACATGTTTTTTTCTCACTCGGATACATTCTATACCTCATTCGTATGTCTCGAGCAGTCGGAAGAAGACAAGGCATTGGGATTGGCCAAAGAGAAGACGAAGAGAGATAAGACATTCGACACGCTATTCGACGAGTCTAAAATGGTAATTGCGGTCACGGTCGTGCAGACTGAATGCTTCGCAGTTTCTGACAGATTGAAAAGTGGTCTATCAATTGAGTCGCAAAACTATATCAGCGTAGTGATTGATAATTTTATACTTGCCAAATTATCAAAGAGTTCGGTACTTCTGTTCGAGTCGTTTGGATACCCAGCTGATACGTAACAACAGTTCTCAATCTGGCAAGGAAATGAATGGTTTGTACTTAGTTTTAGAGCTTAAGATTTCATTGTCCTGTTTCGAATTATATGTGTTGCACATTTATAGGATTCTGTGTTCGAGAGCTATCAGAAATATACTTATGATTAACCGATAGTCAAAATTTCCATTGCCCTCCTATTTTATGTAATATTCCGCTCTATATATTTATAT